TTTATTTATTAACACATTTATTTATTTATTAATAAATTACATCAGCCACTTTTATAAGCCCTGCATCTACACACATAATAGCTGCAAAACCCAGTTTAAAAAAACTTTCTGAATAAACAAAACATCTGAATACATTTCTAAAATAAAATTTATTTATTTATTTCACTTAGTTCCATACATACATCTACAGAGAAAATAGCTGCAAAACTCTAAAAGTCTAAAATACTTTAACAAACAAAGCACCTGAATACATTTCAAAAAAATAACATTTAAATGGATACATTTATAAAGAATCCATTTCTATTTTAGGTATTTATTTATTTATATCAATTCCATACGTTCTACATCTGCAAACGCAATCCTAGTTTGCACACAATGCATCTTAAATAGTATCAGCATTAATGCATCTAAAAACGTACATTGCTTCTGGGATGAATTGAGGTTAATTTAGTGCAATAATTGCTCCTGTAATTATGAAGCTGCATGGTTTAAAAATATACCAAATTAATTTTGTGATGCATTGGACAACACTGCAGACAAATACAGTACATGTCAACCATGAGCTGAAGAGAATCTGAAAGCAGTGAAGGTGTGATTATAAGACTGTACTGGGTGAAGTGCTCACAGCTCTCGCTCTCTATTTCAGCCTTTTACATGGCCAAAAAAAAATCCCTTTGAATCTTCGCAGGCAGCCACTCGGCTTCAAGTGAGTTATTGTGTCGGTTCAGTCGGTTTGGACGACAGGAGACAATCTTTGACCGACCGCGCCGGACTCAAGGAGAGACTGTTGCTATTTAAAGATCTGTGGTTCTGACAGGCATTTTAAACATCTATCTGTGAAATTCTGGATTCTGATAATGACAATAAAGTGTACAGTACATTTAATTTACCTAAATTGGATCATTCCAATGGTAGCTTATGGCACTTTCCTAGAAAATGGACTGAAAATCCACAAAAGTCAAAGGAGAACTCCAAATATACCTTAAAGAACAATAAACATACATTTCTTACAAAAATTAAAAATATAATAATAATAATTAAATAGGTTTTTTAAATATTTTTACAGAATACAGTTCTAAATAAATGTTTAATTAAATAAATGTCTTAAAAAATCTAAAAAAAACATTTCTAAAAATAAGAATTGGAAACATGGTTTTAGATTTAGCTTAAAACGTCTAATTAAATTTCTAACATTTCAAATAAATAAATAAATCGTTTCCAGAATTGGAATTTATTTGGAAACTAAAATGTATAAATACATTTCTAAATACATACATTTATGAATAATTTCCAAATAAATAAATAAATATGGGAAAAAATGGTTTTAGATTTGGCGTAACATTTCTAAACCAATTTCTAAATAAATCAATTTCTAAAATAACTAAAAAACTGAATTTGAAACATAGTTTGAGATTTGGCCTCAAATGTATAAATACAGTTCTAAATAAATGTGTGTATGTGCATTGATGTATGAATGTGCATTGAAACAATGTGAATTGTGAAAAGTGCAATACAAATAAAATTGTATGGGGGAAAATTTGGATTTAATATACACCAAGTCTTCTGAAATCATATTTGTTTTTTCTTCATGTGCATCATATTTGATGTACGAGATATGATGCATGAGAAATGAGATATACTGTATGTCAAGTCTTCCGAAGTCCTATTTGTTTTATGTGAGTACTAGACTGAAATTAAACTAGTTTTTCACTGAAAATTAAATTTTTGACTCAACCATTAGAGTTTTTCTGCTTCCAACAATGTACTGGGAATATAAACATCAGGACTTGATTTGCTTTATTTCGTCTCTCTTAATGGCAAATCACTGAACCGTTGTCAGAAACCAACTGATCCACATCTTCTTGAATCTCTCATATATTTATAGCTGTCATCTTCATCACAGAGAGCAGGTTTCTTTTGACGAGAGATTTTCAAGTGGAGATTATTTTGATCAGAAATTGAATTACCCAGCAGTGTCTCGGTGAAGCAGCTCCCATCCGCTCCATGTGTGTCATTATGTTGATAAAATCACTAACATCCAAGCAACAGGTCGCCCTGGTTATTGGGAAATGCATTAACCCGCAGCGAGAGACTTCTGTCTGGTTTGGAGTGATCAACGTGACCTGAGACGCAGGTAATGCGCTAGTGACATTTGCTAAGGTGGATTTTCAGGGTGTCCTTGTTGATTGGATCATATTTATGGTTATTTGGCAGCTGCTTTTATCCAGAGCAACTTACATTGCATTCAAGGTACTCACCAGCACAATATTAGTGAGTTATGGATGGTTGCTTGGTGGCCCAAATCAAAACCTATGATATATGATATATGAGATTTGTTATAGGAAGAAATAATATATAATGTATGATATGAGGTGTGAGATATGATGCATGAAGAGTGAGATATGATGTTTGAGATATAGTGCATTAGAAATGAGATATTTGATGTATGATATATGATGTATGAGAAATATATAATGTATGAGATATTTAGGATAAATTAGAAATTTGATGTACGAGATATGATTAATGAGAAATATATAATGTATGAGATATGTAGGATAAATTAGATATTTGATGTATGAGATATGATTGATGAGAAATTAGATATTTGATGTATGAGAAATATATGATGCATGAGATATGTAGGATAAATTAGATATTTGATGTATGATGGAAAAAAACAGTTAATCTTTAAAAAATGAAGCATAGCTATATATAAACCCATATAGGAAATAAAAGAGTTATCGAATAAGCTTGTTCTAAACTCCTGAAACATTGTTGTTTCGTATTTTAGAGTAGTCACTGCAATTTATGAAAGAAATCAATTAAATTTGTATGTGGGAGTGTGTGTGAAAAAAGCAGATGTAACCCCCCTTTGTAATCCTTAACATTTTCATGAGTAACTGTAATTTAATTACATATTTTTTCTCAGTAACTGTAACTGATTACAATTACTTTGATTTTGTAATTAAATTACGTAATTCCGTTACATGTAACTAGTTACTCCCCAACACTGTTTATGAGAAATTAGATATTAGATGCATGAGATATTTGATGTATGAAATTTGATGTATTAGATGATGTATGATATGAGAAATGAGATGTGGGATATGATGTATGAGATGTGTATGAGAAATCAGATATTTGATGTATGAAATATGATTTATGAGATACAATGTAAGAGAAATTAAATATTCAATGTATGAGATATAATGTTTGAAAAATTAGATATGTGATGTATGAGATGATGTATGATGTATGAGAAATTATATTATGTATGAGATGATATAATAAATATGAGATCATTTATGTATGAGAAATTAGATATTTGTCATATGAGATATAATGTATGAAAAGTGAGATGTGATGCATGATATGAGATATGAGAAATTAGATTTCTGATGAATTAGATATGATGAGAAATTATATGATGTATGAGATGACAATAAATATGAGATGATTTATGATGTGAAATATGTTGTATGAGAAATTAGATATTTAATGTATGAGATATGATGTATGATACGAGATATTAGATGTGATGTATGAGAAATTAGATATTTGATGTAAGAGAAATGATGTATGAGATATAATGAATGAGAAATTAGATATATGATGTATGAGATATGAGAGATTTAATGTATGAGATATGATGAGAAATTATATGATGTATGAGATGACAATAAATATAAGATGATTTATGATGTGAGATATGTTGTATGAGAAATTAGATATTTAATGTATGAGATATGATGTATGATACGAGATATGAGAAATGAGATATGATGTATAAGATATAATGTATGAGAAATTAGATATTTGATGTATGAGATATGATGTAATGAGATGTGATATGATGTATGAGATATGATGTAATGAGATGTGATATGATGTATGAGATATGATGTAATGAGATGTGATATGATGTATGAGATATGATGTAATGAGATGTGATATGATGTATGAGATATAATATGAGATATGATGTATGAGATATAATGTATGAGAAAGTAGATATTTCATGTATGAGAACTTATGTATGAGATATCATAAATGAGATGTGATGTATGAGATATAATGTATCACATATGAGATATGATGTATGATAAATTATATATATTATGTGTGAGATAGAATGTATGAGAAATGATATATGATGTATGAGATATATGATATATGAGATATAATATATGATGCATAATGTATGAGAAATGATAGATGTATGAGATGTATGATTATATGCAATGCATGTTATACTGTTATAATGATAGATGTATGATTATATGCAATGCATGTTATGAATGATGTATGATGTTATATATGATATGAGAGCTACTGTATGATATGATCACTAAACCAATAAGAGCAGTAGGTACAGTGATGTCTGACTTGGCAAACACCACTAACAATTTCCTATTCTGAAAAAAATAGCACATCTACTGAGCAATAATTAAAGTTAATTAAAAGTGTTGTGAAAATACATATTGCAACCCTTTGTAAATTAGTTTTGGAGCAGATGTTGATGTGCACAGTTGTGTCAGCCGGACTGAGTCAGAATGTGTGTTAATCTGCATACTAACGAACCGTCACTGCAGGTTCATCAAGCATGACTCAGGGATTTAAACATCCATAATACACCGACTTGACCTTTATAAACCTTACAAAGCCCTCTGTGATTCTGTAAATGTATATATATTTGTTATACACCCAAAGAGAAGGCCATTAACGCTGTTGCTCGGGCAACGGATCCTTTTATGTCCAACCTGACAGGAGAATAAAACAAACCTGTGTTTTTACCACTGAGTAATTCTTGTCATCGAATTAGTTCATCTCTCTCCCCTCCTGGCTGAGAAAAGAGGAGGTGATTGTGAATGGACCCATAGCAGCATTGCCGCTCTCGGATGGCTGTTTCTGTAGCAACAGGGGAAGGGCGTGCAGAGCGCTGAGGTATAAAAACACAGACAGTTTCTCAGACGAGACTCAGAAACTCTGAGCTGCCTGCAAATAACCACCACGAAACTAACTCCAGATCATGATGCTGAGGCCGAAGGACTTGTGTCAGGGATCTGGCACCAAAACCTTCCTGGAAGCCATGCAGAGCGGGAAAGTCCACTTGGCTCGGTTCGTCCTGGACGCGTTGGACGGGCGCATCATTAACGGGAAAGCCGAAAACGGGCGTACGCTTCTGATGCACGCCGTGTGCCTTCAAGAGCACGTAACCAGATCCAAATTCACCCAATTGCTTCTGGAAAAAGGCGCGGATGTGAACGCCCGGGATGACCACGGACGCACAGCCTTGAGTCTGGCATGCGAACACGGACACTTGGATTCGGTGAAGCTCCTGGTGCAATTCAATGCTGATCCAGAGCTCACAGACACGTGGGGAAACAGTGCCCTCATGTACGCCGCATGCGGAGGACACAGCCAAATCTTGGAGTTCCTAGTCCGGGCGTTCAAGAAGCTCGGTTTGCGACTGGACCGCACGAATCACGCCGGCCACTCGGCCATCCAAGTTGCTGACTTCTTTGGGCACATCCAGTGCACTCAAACCCTCAACGGGTGTGGAAAGAAGATGATGAGTCCGACGAACAGCACGGGAGAACCCACCGAAGACCTGCGGTGGCCCAATCGCCTCCCGAAGCAGGTTCTGGAGAGGTTCTCGAAACAGATCCAAAGCAAGCACGAGGAAATCCTCCCGGCCTTGTTTCAGAGACAGCTGCGCGTCGGCGACAGCAACGGCCTGCGGATCCGCTTCAGACATCCAGATGCCAACCAAAGCCTCAGCAGATCTGAAGACGGAGCGGATCTGCTGTTCGCTTCGAAACAGATTCAAAACTCGGTGCTGAAAAAGGTCGGAAGCGCAGAACGCGAGACGGACGGCGACGTGCCACTTTGGGGGAAAACGAGGTCGTTTAATCTTGACCTCAGAACCGGAAGGAAACAATCCTATCAGGGCGACGTGCAAGAAACCAACAGATCTGCGAGCAAATTCAAAAGAGCGTCGCTGCAAGACGAAAAACCGCTTGTGGCGAAGTTCTACAGCACAAAAACGACTGACAACTTCGAAATCAGAAAAGAGGTGCAGAAGCGTGGCAGCATTCCCAAAACGACCAGGCAGAGCAAACTTCTGCTCAGTCGTGAAGAACTCGAACCTGAAAGAATCAAACCTCACTCTTCTGGGCTCTCCAGACTCCTGCGCAGATTCACGGCTCCTGAATTCATGCGACACATCAGAGACTGTCCCAGCGACGCCAGACACAGTAGAAGAAAGATGTCCCGGTCCGAGACCTTCCCGTTCTCACACACGCACATGAGAGTGAACAGCCAGCCGAGTGTGGACAGCATCAGCGCGGTGAGATGCGAGTTTGAGAGCAATCCTGCTCTTTAATGAGCTTTTAAATGCACCATGTTTAGAGTAAAACACTCATGTGGGCATTTAGAAAGATGTTTATGACTACCACAGAGACATTATAAATAGCCGTGTACTTTATGAGTGTAAAAACTCGAGCTCTTTTGAGACTTTTAACTGCTGCTGCTCTCAATGTCTTTCACTGCCTCTGTAGATTCATTAACGTACTTCGGCTAATTGAATTACTGCTGACATTATTATGCACTGCTAAAGAGTGTCTGTGCATTAAGTACTTACATGCTTTTATCATGCACGCATGTTATAGCCTATTTTTATAAGCAAAGTGATTTGTGATTTGCATGCATTAAAATACAGTTTTGTATATCTATGCATAGCCTATCTATGATGTAAATAGTTTATATTCTGCATTCTTTGATAGACAAATATAATAAAGCAACTGTATAAACTGTATGAAAGAGACAAATATATGAATAAAGCATTTGTGTACGCTTCAAGCATCTGTGTATAAGAAATAAAACTTTATATCGGTGTTTTTTTATATGCATGATTTATTCTTTAAAAAATTGAAACGTATAGTTCTCTTCATCAACAACCAACACACAAACAAGCACACGACACATGTTGTGGAAAGAAGGCTGATTATGAGTCGTGTGTCCTCGACTGCGTCATGTACACAAACACAGAGCTGTGCAAACTAACGAGGGGCTGTTCACACCAGATGCGTTCCTGCATTCAAACACAGATGGAGTGCGACTTATAGAAACAAACGCAGGAGTTCGGAAATACTTTTCACTTGACATTCGTTATTCAATTCCCTTCTACTGCTGATTTCAAATCTCATTTCTGCATATTCAAACTGAAGTTTGATCAATAAATTGTGGTCTGTTCCTCACAAAAAGCATCATATGATTCATTTCAAAAGCTTTTGAATACAGTGCATGAGTGATTTGCATGATTGTTTTTTTCTTGCTGTTGTCTCTACACTGCAAAGTTTTAAATAAAACCAAGATTACTGGTGTTTTACAAGAAAATATTATTTCAGTTTACGTTTATATTTAAAAATGTCATATTTAATTCAATGTAATAGTTGCCTTTTCTTTGTAATTGTTTGTGAAATTTACAGTTAGAGTTTAACAATTTAGAGTTTTCTGAGTTCAAATAGTTTTGTAAAGGAAATTATATAAGCATGAAACAAAAAGGCAACTGTGGCTTTTTATCTCACAATTTAGAAAAAAAGTCAGAATTGTGAAATATAAACAGAATTGTGAGGGGAAAAAGTCAGAATTCTACTTTACATGTTTACAATTCGTACTTTTTATTCTCTGAATTCTTAGTTAACATCTAGTGATTGTGCTTCGTTTATATCTCACAATTCTGACTTGCAAATCTGAGGTAATATCTTATAATTATGAGTTTAAATTGTAATTCTGAGTATTTTTTTATTTTTTATTCCGTGGCACAAAAAAATGCATTGCGAGATGCAAACTCCGAATTCAGAGAAAAAAGTCAGAACTGCGACATATAAGCTTAGAATTAAACCTGTGGCGAAAACAAGCTTCCATAGGAAAGACCTGCATAAAGATTCTTCAAAAACTGCTCATTTTACGCTGACAAAAATAGCAATTAAATGATCTTCATTTTACATATGCGTACACTTAAAAATAGTGTGACAACATGTTTCCAGTGTGAACGGCCCCAAACACAAACCGACATCTCTCCTGCTCTCTTTTAATCTGTCAGTGTGATCATTTAGGAAACATCACAGTCCAACAGGATGCAAGAATATCACAATGAACGCTGCATCCAAAATTTAAACACACACACACACACACACACCAACAAACAGACCTTTCCTTTCCTCTCTCATAATTAAACAAATGCAAATATGGGTCATTTCTCACTCTGATTATGTACATTATTTGTTCTTCTGACGCCTGACCGTCAAATCAGCAGTTTAAGAAATCAGGAATGAAGCGCAGATGCAATATTTACACGGTTTACAAACCATTCACAGTACCCTTTCCAAAAGCAGGTGCTTGTCAATCCATTGAAAACTAATACTAAATCGGTCATTAAAATATATACAGTTGGTTACAATGGCTCATAAAAACCTTTCACATCTGTCAGTGCTACCAGCAAATGACATCGCTTCACCACCTTTTCTGAAGAAACACTTTCGTTCCTCAGTTTAAGATTCAAGCCACTGTTTAGCCATGCAAGCCAGTCTTACGAGCTGTAAAAGCACAGGTGAAATATGTGCCTTCTGTGGCTTAAAATCTCTTTCAGCCAGCCCAGACCGAATCTGCGGACATTCACATTTTCTGTGCTGATTCTGGATGAAATATTAGCATTCAAAACTGGTAAAAGGTGTTAAACAGAGCTGAAAGTAACACACCATCATTGGTTGTTTAAAGTAAAGATTTGCAATGTGACCAAATACATGCTGCAAGTAATTTTATATCACAGTAACAGTACAATGATTTTTTGAAATTGTAAATAAAATGAGGATTTTTGGAGTGCGTTTTACAAGAAAATACTGTTTCAGTCTTTCGACTTCAACATTTCATGTTTAATTTAAAGTTACTTGCTATTTCTTTATATTTAATTGTGAAATTTATTAGAAATTGCTTATGTTTGACCATTTTTTTAAAATCTTTTTATGGAAACTCAACCCAAAAAGGTTTAGATTTAAATTCAAATAACAACATATTTTAAAATCTGATTGGATGAGCCACATTTGGAGCTGCTGATATTTATGCAATAATACATGCACAAATTGTAATTCTGCAGATTGTAGATAAATAAATATCAGTGTAATGCTTTACAATACGTTTCAATTAGTTAATGTTGGTTAACTACATCACTGCCTTGTTACAACCAAAACATGGACGTTTTTCAACAGATACGGAGACTAATTCAGTTTCTACAAGGTTGTATAAGGTTCTTTTTATTATTAATTATATGGTGTGTTATTTCTATTTTATTTTATTTTTAAATAAAATTAATTTTAATTTAATTTAAATAATTTAATACATTAAATGTGGCCTCAGCTTCAGATAATAAAGCTGTTGAAATTTTTTATTTTATTTATTTTACTTTTTAATTACATTTCATTTAATTTGTTATTTTTATTTTATTTCATTTTAAATTAAATTAAATTAAATTTATATAATATAATATAATACATTAGAATCTGAAGCTGAGGCCACATTTGAAGCTGTTGAAAATTATTTTAATTAAATTTTTAATTTAATTTAATTTAATTTAATTTAATTTAATTTAATTTAATTTTCCGAAATTATATTTGGAT